TAGACAGATGAATGACCATCACTGGTTGATACTTTATATTCGACAGGTGATAGACTGAATGCACTATTCACTTGAGGTTTCGCGTCTAAACTGATGTCAAATTCTGCCGTGGAGCTAACGAAAGAGCATTTCAACTATATAGAGTGACACTTTAAGTAAACGGGACAAAATACTGAACTTATCCTAAAGTTTAAAAGTAATTCAATCCCAAGGTGAATCAAAACTAACCAATTACAGCGGTCAAACTAGAAAGTCGAAGTTGATTGAAAAACTAATTTGCTCAATTTGTTGTTGCAAGTGGCGTTTTCTACTAACTTGTGATGCTTATCAACTCTTATAGAGCATAATTGAGTTCTAAAAAGCACACACTGCCTACTCGGTACAGTGAATAGGGTTGAAATGCCTCACTGACAGAAGTCTGAGAAAACAAACTTATTCCAGCGGCGAGTCTTTGTCGTCAGGCCAGATTGCCTTAGAACCCTACAATTTGGAATGGTGTGGGGGGGGGGGGTTAAACAACCACCCCACCCCCCATCCTCAAGAGTCCCGTTGGGCGAATAGCGCACAAATCGCGCTCCTGTCTCGAAATTCGGTTGCAGACGTCGCTCCCCCTCTGTCGTCGTGTCGGTTCACGTGAATTTATTGTCCACTCACATCTCCTCACACCTTTGACCACATGCGGCGGTTTGTGCCTGGGCGACCACCAGTTGTCGGGAGCTGGGGCACCCAATCAACTGCGGGCGGTGAGTCCATTCAGACAAGGATGGAGGCGATTAGTACAAACAACACCACCGGTTACACCAACTCGAAGGCTAGGGCTGAAGGGGTTTCTGTAGAAACCTCTAGTGAATTTTTTTTAATTTGACGTCTTTTGCATCCGGAAGGTTACAAATGGCGCCAATTGTTAAGTTTGTTATTTGAAGTGGTGGGACAATAATATTGCATGTGGGTAAAGCGATCAACCTCCGAATTGCAAAGGAGGGAAACTGTGATAGTAAGGTCATGAACATAATTCCTCGCACACATTTGAATGACTTAATTTAGGTCTAAAAAGACATTTTGGGTTTTATCGGGAATTTCACACCATACAGTGTAATGATTCCAAAACACCCGTTTTGTTTGCTTTCACCATCATCTGGCTCGAGTGGTAAAGCAAAGTACGCTCTAGTGTCATGATAATTTTTACCGACTGCATCAATTTATATTCTAATTGCGGAAGGTAAGAAACCCAGCGTGGTAAGTGTGGGCCTTGAGAGTGCCACCATAGTACTCAAGTAAAGATTTGTGTTTTCAAAATTCGTGTTCAAAAGGAATTCAGGTTTTTAGATCGAATTTCCGATCGTCCTACCACCAGAGAACCCAGAATGGTTAACGAGGCTTTTCAGGTGTTTCTGGTAGTTCTTCATTAGGGGACAGTTGTGTGCAGTTTCGTGGGCTTCGGCAGTAAAATACTTTGCCAAGTGGTCCTGGAGCAAGGAGCGCGTTCTACACCGGCAATGCGCGCACGACTAAACTATGGAACATGGACACGAGTCTTAATTTCCCAAAAACACTCGGCTTATACGTTTGGCGAAAGTGTGCCTCTGCTGCGTCGCCAAACACTCCTGACTGATTGGCCCCAATGCTTTATGCAGTCAGTGTGATCAAATCCCATTAGTCCTGGAACCTCCTTTTTCTCTTGATTTGCATGTGCAATTAATTCAAATATATTAGTTTCCATTTATTACGCATGAACGCACATTCACTCACTTAGTGCCTCTGGTAGCTCCTATTTTATCGTTTTAGATCCCTCACGAGCACCTAAAGCGTGTAAATTCATTTTGAAAAAATACAAAACCGCCCAATTTGCAAATGGGCCTTGGCATTCTCTTAATTCTGACCGTCAAAGCATCTTATAAACGTGTGCAGCGCATCTCCCTCAGTCAGAACAGTCTTCGTGAGGGGTGGTAAGGCAGTATGGCCAATTGGCACGCTACCGTATCTAACCGACCAATCAGGTGGAGGTAAATTTAACGCAATTGGGGGCAGAGGACTAGGATGCCGGAAGATGCGAATTCGCATTTATAGAAGATGGAATACAACCGACTACCATTTTGGCATCATTTGACTGACTTTGGACCTCCAATCCTTCATATTCCACCCCCACACGAGCTGTTACAACTCGTTTCCACCTGGAAAACCCAGTGCAGTCTCGGAATTAAGAAAAGTTCAGTCATTGTTCAACCTCAACAAAGTTGTAACGACAGTGGAATCTTGGCTCAAACAGTCTTCAGTGGTGAGTCAGTGCTTTTCAAAGCCTAACTAACTTCCATAATTGTAATCTCGTTGTGTTGAACACAACTGCTGATGAAATCATCGGCGTTTGTTACAAAGTAATTGGAAGTGCTTTGCATTGTACCCACTTATTCACCAACTATTTGTATCCCAATAAATGTGAGAAAGTTGGATCAATGTTTCGTTGGTACCGATTTTGTGGAACCCATTGATTCTGACTTTGGTAATTCAAAAGCTGTTTAAACGATTTTAGCGGAGAGTGGCTTCGTCGCATTTAAAGGGGTTATGCTTCTTTAGCTAGATTTCAGATGACAAAGTGGATTAGTTCTAACAAAGGTTTCTGTTAAGTTTTGCATTGACCTTTTCATAGCTTATACTTCAAGCCACTTGAATACTTGAGGGCATTTTTTGTCACTACTTAGCAATGGTGTTGTAATTTTACAGACTTCGTAATTTTGTTCTGTTTTAACATGGAAGTTAACATGAAAAAAATGGCAAAATGTGCTTTTGTTGTTTGGACTCTACAAGGAGCTTTGCTTTCCTTACTTTTAGGACCTATTAATATACCAGGCTAGTTGTTCTACCTAAGACTGTTGCAGTTATTTTAACTTTGCCTGGGGAGCGTGTCACTACGTAAAATTTCATCAAAACTGAATGAACAAACAGAATAGTCGTAGATGCCAAGCCAATTTCCTCAGGGATGTTCGAAGTAGCACCAATTTATCATAGCATTGTCTATGGACTGACCGAAACCGGTGCAGCATTCCCCGGCACTGCGTGTTCTATTTGTCCCAAGTTATGCCAGCTAGAGCTCTGTTTCAATGCTTGAACAGAATTTCCCCACTTTACATCATTTATTCATGCTCGTATCCCCACACTGGCTCCACAATTAAGTAGTGTGCTTCTGTTAGGTTGCCTGCCAAGCACCTATTAACTAGTCTCCACCTCTGCTTCATGATTATTGTTTTTGGGGTTGTGAAGTCTCAACTGAAAAGAATCAATTGTGGGCTTTTTTAACAGCACCTTAAGGCCAATTCTTTAAATTGTTTAGTAGTGAATGGAAAAATTCGTAAATTCAACCTAGAGGTCGTCGGACCAAGTTTGAAATTTGCGTATTGTTTTTCTTCGCATCATGGAATTTGTGTCTTTATCGACAAATGCTCATTGCCCATGTATTATACAACTGCTGAGTTTGATACTTTGTTTGATTGTTTGAGTTTGTTATGTTTGGGAGCACTTCATATGTGTCGGACAAGTGAAGACGCACATTTCGGAGTCACACACAACGTGTCATTTGTAGCCTTCGTTGGGTGCGTGTGTGCGTGTGAATGCCTCTGTAGTGTGGATTTTATACATATTTAACCGTAATCGCGTGGTTGGGTTGTTCGCTGTGAACCTCTGTCATCTCTCAAGCAAACTGATTGTTAATCCCAGCTTCTACCTCTCGCGCATCCCCACACGGTGCACACTTAAGAAACGTCACACCAACTCGACGATCTCGAGGTCAGAAATCGGGACTGGCTCACTCAACCCCCCAAAGCGAGGTCTGCCAGCCCCGATCAGTGACCTCCAGACTGACGACTTCCACTGTGTCTAAGGAGAACGTGGGTGTCGCCGCCTCTTCTGCCTTCCACAAGCTTCCCCCGAAGGTGGATCTGTTGCAGGTGCAACTTTGCCCAGGGACCACACCCAAAATTGCCAGTCAGCCTTGCCGACCGAGCACCGAAGAAATTCGCTCCCGGTGCAACTCCTCTGAGGGTAAGTTTGGCTGATTAAGGGAGGTACAACTTGCCCTACACCATGTAGCCCAGTCTCATCGCCAGCACCCAGACAGGCTAAACTGGTAATTGTGATCGGGTAGTGTGCGTGTTTGGGTCTGGTATTTGGTATATGTAAGAAACTTTCAATAAAGATTTTCTACAGTTGTCTGCCAAATACATTTTGGTTTCATGAACACACTCTGAGGAAGCCATAGCATAGGTTTCGTGCTAGCAAATTCGACTGTTTTGTTAACAACACAAGTGAGGCCTTTTCAGGCTGCATCAACTGCTGATCGAATTTGTTTAAATGTGCTGTACACAATCCTTGTTTATCATTACCTAGTAAAATCACCCTCTCCTCAATGCAGGAGCAAATGCTATCGCAATTGCGAAAAGCGTGGTCAACACAGAAACACACGAGCAGTTGGCTTTGACGCTGACAAGCACTCATGAATATTTGCTTGCATTTTTCGAAATAAACTGCGCATATTAGTGCACTAAGCCATATACTGAAAGTTATATTCAGTCATGTAATCTGGGGTGGACACGTTCACTTCACGCGGACGGTATCCAGCCCAGTAAATGAAAGTCTCGCCGAAGGCTACGTGAACAAAATAGAGACTCCGCTGCACTAAGTGTTGCCGTTGACCTAACTAGATGCGGTCCCATTCGACTTTCGGAAGTTGGTGGATTCCTGTCTGCGACCTGCCGGGGGCCAAGCCAGCACAAAACCACCTGCTTCAAAGGAAAGACGTCAAAGGCACTTTTCGAAACTCCGTCCGCAGTGCCCGCCTGCCAACTCCAGGCCAGGTCCAACAAGTGGCAAACACAGGTAAACCACACACGGGTGGGGTATAGTTTGGGGCCATTTGATGGAAAAATTAACACGAGTTGCTTTACCGCAGAGCAAAAAAGCATTACATCTGCCGTTTCTGCTGTCGCCAGTTTACTAAATCCTACAACCTTCTGATTCATGAGAGAACACACACAAACGAGCGACCGTTTCCATGCGACGTGTGCGGGAGGGCATTCCGAAGGCAGGACCACTTACGTGACCACAGGTAAGTCGATTTTTCACCAGTCAGAGACATTTTTTTACTCTTGAGAGAGTAAATTTTCCAAACAGTTATTTGAATCAAAATATGAGGGGAAATTTAGAGACAGAAAGCCCATTTGCCGGCTTTTACCCAGTCATCACTGAACCGGACCTGTAGCGCAGGTCAGCCTAACACGCTGCGGCAAATGGCGAAAAGGCTGCGTGTGCAATGCGAGTGCGCATCCTTGCTCGAGAGAGTGCCCGTGTACTTGGTAGAGTGAAGGGTAATGGTGACACACAAGGTCTTTGAGTTTGAAGTGCCGTGTTTCGTGACGCACGAGTGGATCTGATTGCTGGCTGCGGCATTGTTCATGGGGCTATAACGTGAAGCGGTGTGAGGCGTAGAAGGGAAATGGACAGACCCTCAGCGGTGTCGCCAGCCACTCCTCGTGAGCCGACCCAAGTGGCCGTCCCGCCTGCAGTGGCTGGAGCTTTACGCTCTTGGTCCTAACGGTTGTTCAAGCGGGGATCGAAGCTCCCATTCGATGAGTGTCGTGAGCTCTTTCTAGTTTCCATCTCACTGAGTTTGATCTGTTTGAACAGTAAATTCCATTAGACAACATAGTGGAATATTTCAAAGTGATTGGCAGCGCCGAGTTTGCCATATTACACTTCGAAAGCCATTAGCCCACGGAGTTATACTGGGGTGCATCGGTTTCCACACGCCAATTCAAGCACATGCGAGCATGAAGGTGAAGGGGATTTCGTGGGCGTGATTAGCGCGCCCAAATGTCTATGCGGAGGTCGTGATCCGTAGAAATGAATCTGTTAACTCCGATGTGCTTATTTTAGGTACATACACAGCACGAAGAAGCCGTTTGCCTGTGAACTTTGTGGGAAAGGATTTTGCCAGTCGCGAACACTGACGCTCCACAGAATAACACATCTTCAAAATATATGAGTTCACAGGAAATGCTATTTTCGCATTTAAATATTATGAGAAATAAATCGTTATTGTGTTTTAAATTAGTTTTCAAGTTTTTGTATTTTTCGAAAAGAAAACGTCAATCAGTTACGCCTTGTCAGTTCCTTCGTTCCATATAGCCCCGGACAAAACTTCGTGCTTTTTGCAACGTTCAAGATGGCCGCCTGAGAGCAGTCTGGCTGGGTGATGAGAGGTGGGGTGTGCGAGCCCTGGAGACAAAGATTAGCGTCGAATTTGAGCAAGTCGAAGCTGCTTGCAATGATGACTTAACACGAAGTCAACGTCCTGGCACAGGGGAATGAGGACGCCGATGTACAGGGTCGGCCTCAAGCTAAAATGTTCTCATGGTGAGAACTGGTCTCCTGAATGTGGCGGCTTTCAGCGTCATTGGTCTGGTCTTCAGGAACATTCAGCATTCAGCTGACTCACCTCTAATTTTGGTGTGAATGCTGTTTTACGGAGGCATTTTTGGTATTACCTCTACTGAGGAAACGCCAACACTTCGTCATAAATCAACCTATAAAGATCTAGCATTTTAGAAATCGTGATTAAATGTCACGATTGATTCAAACTCGTGGTAGATATGTGAAAATAAAATAAATCTTTTAAATTTTGTCGTATTCTGATGAAGACGTGGTCTGCAATTGACACACCACGCCAAGAATAAAGGGTCTGACTGAACTGACCACAGCGCACTCCATTCTGGCGGCATTCTGCGTTTGCACCTTCTCGCCAACAGACACACAGTGAGGACTTGAAAAGAACGAAACACTTCATGTCGAGTTGCTAGCAAAAATTTATGAAAGTTGTTTCGGTGGGACTTCGATTTCTCACTAACAAATATTGAGGAGGACACTTTAACTGTTTCAGCTTGTCATAAAAACCAGTCGTCAGACTTGCTTCTTCCCTGTTCAGGGGTTTCTGCTTTGTGGCGCGCACTCGTGCGGTCATCGAAGTCGTCGTCGTCGTCGTCGTCGAGGCACTTCGCCAAACCAAACGATCAGTTTACGTAGCGCCACATGTGGACGGCGAATTTTAACCATCAGGTATCTCTTTTGCGGTTAATTAATGTTTCCTAATATAAAACTCACACGTGCTCCCCATGCCACACAGTTAAATCACTTTGCACTTCCTCAAAGTTGGGCTCTAAGATGTGTTAATCAGGTTCCATGGTCAGGTATTGGCATGGGTTGGGCTTTACATCATTCGCAACTAAGAAAAGAGTAATAAAATATATTAAATAAACGACAAAACTCCAAATCATTGATAAAAGGCGTTCTGCGTCGAAAGAAGTACCGAAGCCCCGAATCAACTGCTCGATAGATTATCGGAAATAATATTAGCGGCACCACTAAAACAATTTTTTCACAGATAATTACTACTTTTAAACTTAAGTAGACGTGCATGTGAGTATAAAATGTATTAGTGACATTTCAAGGTAATGACGGCTTTAAGGTCACCACCATCACACGATATACAAAAATCACCTTCTTCCCAGCCCTTGACGTCAGGGAGTACTATTAGACAACTTGTAAGGGAACTGCCCAATCCCAGTGAAATGCTACGTTGACTACGTTTTGTGAACGCTGTACCCCAGAAACATGTCTACTTGATGACTTTCCAGAGTTTTTGTCGTTGTCGGAAGAAAACCCGCCACCATGTGCGGACTTCGCACTGTTAGATGACCCCGCAATCAATACTACCTGAATATCATGGTCGTGAGATGAAGACAATGTAAACAACGAGAAAGAACAAGGCGACCATTCAAACAATCAACTTAAAATTAAAAAAACAGCTATTCAGATTTTGAGGAGGCAGCTTTAAGGTCATTAGAGGGTGGAGGGGGAAACGCGCTTACGACAAGTCGCAAACTCGCAGGTCGCGCATGACCTTGAACTGCATGTCATTTGGCGGAGACCTCGGGAAAAGTGCACCGCCGGACGACCTGGGTGCCAGCAGCGAACAGCGCAAACTTACCTTCACCAGTCGACACTGCGGTGCGTCAGTGAGAGCGCAATCCCAGGGGTGACGGAGGCACCGATCGCCAGTCTGTCACGCCTTTTAACCGTGTTCAGCTCAGCGTGCCCCGTTTTGGTGTCGACTGCGGTGGCGGCAACTGCCTGAGCACTTCAGGCCAGATGTGCTCTTCTGCGAGCTCATTTGGGGGATTAAGGCATTCAAAATACGAGGTCGATTCCTGAGATGCGAGTAAGCAATTACAAGAAGACCAAATGAAATGATGCAGGTCAGCCTTGAAGCAGTTAAAGGCAATGTCTTGATACGATTCTAATTCAGCACGCTCATACCTGCAGCGACCTCGCACATTCATGCTAAAACCCAGCAGGACAGTCTACTTTTCTATCTGCTACTCTAGTCCTCTTAATGGCCAGCCCTCTTTACTTTAAGTACGAATCGAGGTCTCTAGATTGTGCTCCATTCCAAAAAGTCGGAAGCTGCTTGACTCATCGTGTTTTCCTTAAGAATATTTACACTGCGAATTGCCCCAGCCTCCAAGGGGCCACATCTGAAGCCTCTACACGCCTTCCATGTGAGTTGTCAGTGAATGATATCAGGAACAGATGAAAGGCATGTTGCCTTCATTTTAGACCGGCGGTATCCACTCATTTGTCTAAACACAGCGTTTCCTAAGAATTTCGCTTTATCTCGGATGTGTACTTCGTCAAATAAACTTCAATACACTCATGATTTAAACATTCTTCAGATAGATGACAACCTGGAAATTAGAATCGTCTACTAGAAGACGCTGGGACCAGCAGATTGGTGAAATATTGTGGCATGCATGTCTAAGCCTATTATTGAGACCCGGCCCATAGGACGTTTGATGCTGAGAGAAGCAGACGAAAATTATTCTGGTTCGAGTAGCATTGGTGGCCACCGCTGGGGGAGGGGGCACCAACGCAGCCCAAGAAATTCTGCCGCGCATTCCTTGATGAAATGATCGAAGACGCTATCTTAATTTTGCTCAAGGAAAATAAATAGGGGAACACGGAAGGAGAGGGGGGGTTTCCTTGATTTTGTCTTGAAGATCTGTAAAGTGGCGAAACGGCAGTTCCCTAGTTCGAAAAAGAGTTGCTCAACTCCGGAAAAATGTTCGTGCTGATAAAGGAAGAACGAAGAGGAGAAGCTAACATGGTTTTAGAAGTGCGATTTGTCAATGTTCGTAAAATCTAATGTGGATGGGTTGCAGAGGTCACTACGTTGACTTTGGCAGTCGACAAACGGAATTGCGATCCTTTAAAAGCTCTCTTACTGGGACTTTTTGAACGCGTGGTTTTTGGTTTTGATATTGGTCCTAGGCCTTTTGGTGAAAAATTACCTCAATTTTTTTCCTTTGGAATTATTGTTCTTCCACTGCTTCCGATTTCCAGGCAGAATATATTACTTGGACCCGCGGTAATTTTGGAGTGAAGTGGACAAAGATCCCGGATTTTGAGGCAGTCATCTGTAGTTGGTACGATTGCAATGTAGGCATCAAATGTAGCCTTCCCAGCCCACTGTTTTATACTATGGACGGGGCGCTCTGGCAGCCAACACCACTTGCCTATTAAGAACCAGATTTTTCACACAGATGTAAGTAAACATAAACTAACAGGAGTAAACGGGGTGGCAACTAAAGCAGAGTCCAGTGAAGTTGAACAAAAACAGTTGAACCAATTCCTATCTTGTTATCGTATGTGAATTTCACTAGCAAATAAGGCGTTTATTAGGGCTGTTAGTCTCATAAGAGTTCAGTCAAATATGTGAAACCGAATGCAGGTCTGATTGCTTTAACACGGTTATTTCCTGCAGCATTTAAGCATCTTCCCGAATTCAAGTTCGTCTCGATAGGAAATAACAATTTCCGACAAAATCAAACGAGGAATGCAAGAGCCGTCACCACGACGTGTTTTTAATTGAGAAGTGGTGAGCGAAGCTACAGGAACCACCATGATTACAAAAAACGAGGAAGGCATGAAAAAAACAATGTGGAAGACTACTTCTGAGCTTCCTTAACAGAACTAAACAGGATAGACTTGGACAGAAATCCGCAATCGCGTTTTGGCTTTAAACGGCAGCGTGAAAACCTGTCGTGCACGCGGCTGTAGGGGGCGCCCACGACCCGTCCCCCACCCCGACCGCCTTCAGGCCATGCCGCGTGTGCGGCGGATGCACGCAGTCAGCGGCGGTGGTGGCGGCGGCGTGATCACCTCCTCCCCCCCCTAAGTAGGGTTGTAGCGCGCCCATAGCTAGTAGCACTAAGCGTGCCGACTTCAAACAAGAACTGCTCTAGAATGCGCTTTGTGACAAGCCCTTTGAATCGCCGCGGTGACTCTCAACCCACCACAGCCCTTAAAGGTGAATTTGAGACCTCCCGTCAATTTCAAGTGCTCCGTGTGCTGCGTTTTAAAGGACCAAAGGGAAACGCATGATTGCCATGCATTTCGTCATCATTCATGGCGCAAAACAATGCTATTCACACGTGGGAAACAGAAAGCCGGAAGAATAATGTGTCACGGCTTACATAGTGCTGATTTAATAATAAAAGTGCGCGGCTGATCAAATTGCGTGGTTTCGTATTGGTACTTGGACTTGGGATGCCGAGGTCTTCAGCGCTAAAATTTTCTATTACTTCAGCCTCAATTGACTATTTTTCGGTGAGATTAGTTTGTTATTCAAGAAACAACTACTGTTGGGCGCGCAGGATGGTTGATTCTAAATGCAACATGGAATGCTACCCGATAAAGTAAAAAAGTAAACCACTTAAGAGTTGTGGGTGCAACTTAAATCTTGGAATTCTGTTCAGGAGTTCAACTTGCGAAAAATGACCCATTTGGAATTCCAACTTTGGACGTAATTTAAAGACATTAAAGGCGTTATAAACAAATGCAACACTCATCAAGGCCAACGGTGACAAATCAAATGTCCTCATCTATGTTCATAACACCGCCAAACTTGGGTTAATATAATTCAGTTTCATCCTAATTTTCTTCTATGCTTAGATGCTCTTTGTGGACACAACAAATGGGCCTTAAGTCGAACTTCGAATGCTAAATACGCAGAGTAGTTTAATTCGTTACCGTTTGTGTTCTTCCTCCAAACTTCCCAAGAAAGTTTGCGGTACCTCGAAAACCCCTTAATGCGTCTGACCCGGTATAAGGAAAGATTTACCGACTTTCATTGGGGAATCGCGTACGCGATCGGCTTTCTCAACTTGCTATATACCAAAAGTGAATAGTATTTCCCTAGGGCCATTTTGCAAACCGGGAATTGTCTACTAGAGGCTCAGTTGGGACGTTCATAAATACATAAGACGACACGACGACGCCCGCTGGCGAATTCGCACAGTAGTGGCACTGTTTTATTTCCGTAGAGAATCCTTCAGCTTTCTAATAATTGCAAAAATACCTTTGTTGTGAATCGTGTTTATTCACACTCCCTTAACACTTCCCCTTTTCGCAGCATGTCGTCAGCCCCGCGGATCCTCAACTCCCTCCTCATTCGCACGGATATTTATCCTGAATTATCCTCACACCTAGGTCTCCATGTTAGAGCATGTATGACTAGCACATCCGAGGTATGAATACACACGCGCTAACCCCACACACGACACAACGACACCAACGTGGTTGAGCCCTGAAGTGAACGCTTGTGTCCACACCATCTCCCGTCTTTTCCTCACCGCGGGTATCAGGAAAGCGTAATCGGGCCAGGGATAAGGTGTTGTAGGCCCCGGTATTTGGTTCAAGACCACATGCAGGGGTTCACATCTTATTAGGTCACAAGTGAGCACCACGACTCGCCTCAATTAAGCTCCCTTGTTTACCTCACTCAAGTTGCTCCGGCAATATTGCTTCGGTCTGAAACAGGTCGCTTGCCAGGCTTTTAAAGGCGGAATTTGCCCTCTGCTGAATAGTGGATAGTCCGGACAGACACCCACTTAGCAAGCTCCGTCTAATTTAATTCAATCAGTAAAGTGAACCTGATAGCTACTTTAGTGGCTATTTTACTTACTTACTTCGATCATTGACACTCGCACTTTTCCTGTGTTTTAGATTTTGAGGGAACAACCACGGCAAATTCCCAGTAGTAAGGAACTGATGGAGAAGCCCATTCAGAGGGATCAAGCCAACCGCTCTCCCGACTTAAAAGACCACGAAGACACGGTTAGGCCAGCACTCTGTTACGGCCATTTCGAGCACCGTCCTAGTTAGGACAGACTGAACCACAGGTTAGGGCACGCCTGCATGCCAGGTCCTCATTAAGCGGCGGACGTGGTCTCTTATTTTCTTGAGGCCTATCTAAGCCGTTCTCACCATCAGACTCCGCTCAATGTCCACTTTCTAAAGCCCAACTTCCTCAGAACTGGCCCCTCAAATTACCTCAATATCCCACCAACGCTCCCGTCTACAAACTCCAAGAACTCGGAGGTAATCGCAAAGCTGTCGGATGAGATGCACACCAGCATGCCTGAGCGCCCCCCTCGTGTGCCACTGTCGACCTACGATGTCACCTGTGTAAATAGCAATTTGTCCGGCGAGCGAATCCTCGACACACGAGTAAACTGCGCAGAGGGCCCACCATCTCACGGGGAAGGTACCAATGCGATTTCAAGTGGGAGTCCGATTAGCCTGCCGTTCGGAAGGAACGCAGATGCAACCCGCATACATCCTACGCACTGCTTGAAGCTGTACTGAGAACGAGTTGGCGTTTACGCAGAGGTGGCCCTCACTTACTAAAAGCCGAGTTCACTGTTAGTTGCTCATTTGCATAGCACAAGCCTCATCTGTCATTTTCAAATCCGCAATTCCACAACACTCGTACACAATTTACACACAATGCTAATTAGGCCAAAATCGGTGAATGTGATTTTTAAGGTTGCTCAACATTTGCTAGGCCCACATAGCTGAAGGACAAAGCGTCAGTGGAGTGCGCAGTGCGAAGCAACTGAAAAATGACGTTCCAGATTCTGAAAATGGAAGATTGACAAACTTGAAAAAAAAATTCTGCTTATTTGATAGGGTAATTGCCAATAACCCACCACAGGCCATTGTCAGGTTACGAACCGCGGGAGAAAAACGATTTTGACTTACAAGTAACCGGAAACCAAGACCACACCATACATTACTATCATGGCGCAAAAGGAGCCCTTAATTCCTGCACAATCAAGTCATAGCGCTTGCTCAATTTACGCAAACAGCCAAAAACGTTTTAGTATAGAGCATGCAGATCACGTATTTGATACTTCAGTGAAATGCAATAACTAGCTCTGTGTTGAAACCAAATTATAGCCAAACAAACTACAAGATGGAAGTGCAAAAGATCCACTCACTTTATTGAGGACTAATGAAGTGGAAAGTTAAAAATTATCAAATATCGGAAATGTGTTGACAATTCACGATTGGAAGTATGAAGCTTCCTTCGATTGGAAGAATTCGTTCTGGGTTTGACACGCTCACACTTACACGAAATTGATGCATGCAAATTCCTGAATTCTGGTTCCAGTTTAATTGAATTTTCTAGTTGAAGAGCACGACTGCCACATGGAGCCAACCACGCAAAGTCAAGACCACACAAGACATCCTTAAGCACCTGGTTACTCACGCTATGCAACACAAAAGTACGGCACTCAGAAGTCACAATAACAAACATATCAACCAGGCTAACGAAGATCAACGGACAATAAACCCTGATCCTATTTGAGCTGAAGAACATTGCCCGACCCGCTACAGGAGGAGAGACGGGAGTTGGCTTGGCCAATCGTTTCGTGTCATCACCATAGCATCTTAGACGCACGGTTTCTTAAGGGGAAGTGCACACTAAGTAGAAGTGTTCTGCTATAGCCACTCTTCGAAGACGTGACTTAAGGAACTGGGGCGGCTTCACTCGAAGATAACGAAAGGCGTGGCAGCAGGCAAATGCATGTATCACAAAGGGAGGACGGAAATTGGGATGGAATAATAACACGATTATTACTCTGGTCCTTGAATCAGGGGATACAGGGCCGAAGAGTTCACTCAGGAGACTCCTTGCTGTTGTATTCGTGAAACCTGTGAGGTAAGAACCCGCCTTCGTTAAACTGGTTCTGACGTTGTCGCGCATTCCAGTGTAGACAGTGGGCAAGATCGCTGAACCAGTCTGCGACCTGAAGGAGGCGTAAACAAACACAAACGATGTCACACTAACAGTGAGTTCAAAGCACAAACTTGAATTAATTGGGCTGTGCAAATTTCAGGTGTCACGAAAGTGGGCATTTAACCACTCAGCTGGGGACCTCGATGAGGCTCGGATGGCTAAGGACCTAGCCACTGCGCCACCCAGGTACACGTTGCACGCCCTGATCAGAAAGGGGCACAAAGACAGTAAATACACTCTGGAGTGGTGGTGCCAATTGGCCACAGATTAAAATGGGTCCGTACAAGTAGCCCACAGTCCGAAGAGCATCATCGTGTGACTCGCGAGACACCACCTGTGCCATTCAACTTAATTATCGAACTCTGGGGTGGTCAGCGGCCCGGGTTAAGTGCTTTGAGTGGCTCAGTATTCGTGCAAATACATTACCCCTGAGCGTAGGTTGGTGACAAGCCAACTAACCTGATTTTTGCTTCCGAAGCAAGGTACAGGATAGTGCGAAGATGTGATGACTACTCGGTCGCCCTTGTGAAGGGTGTGCCGGTGACGAAGACGCCCGTCGTTGGAGAGGTGCACACACTCGCCCCGGGCGTCCGGAGCGATCGACACCTCCACACGGGCGGAGAGGGGCAGAACCAGGGGGCGACAGCTCAGGGAGTGCGCGCTAATGGGGGTGATGAGGATGGCCTGGACGGCTGGGTTCAGGATGGACGCTCCCGCAGACATTGAATAGGCCGTACTCCCGGTGGGAGTGGATATTATCAGACCTGGGAACGGGAAAAAGTCTGCTCTCAAACTATAGAAAGACGCACCGGTCTAAAACTTCGACCTCATCTATGCAAAGCAAACTAAAGTCTTTAGACAAGAGCATTTTCGTGGGCTATTTGTGCCGCAACGATAATGGGCAAGTAGGTATTTGGAAAAAATTCCTGTGTTCACCCAGGAACCAATCATGACGCTTAGGACAAAATCACGCCCAAATCCGCTTAAATGATTGCCGCAGACCAGCAGCAGCAGAGCAATCCTGCTTTCAGGCTTAATAAAACTTGGACTGAAGTGAAAGCAAGTTGTCGGTAAATAATCATTAGGCAATTCTGTTCCATCCACTTTAAATATCAGGTAAAATTATTAGGCACACGATTCGCATGAGGTTTGTTTCAAAAATTAACCAAACCTCGCATGTTTGCAGCGCCGATTCCACATAAACAATCGGCATTGGAAGAGAGGAACACCAAGTTGTCAGTAATAAAAACCCGTGGAGATCCCATCTTACGTCACTGATTAAATCTAAGTTAATTGATTTTTTTAGCATCGACAGTGAAAACGAAATCGGGCCATGGAAATCAAAGTGCCTTCATTTACGACCAACAGCCATTGGCCAGTTAAATGACAACGCAGGTAGTCACCTCCATCAAGGCAGAGGAAGGATAATAAATTTACCATCACCCTGAATCCGAGTGACTTCCTTCCCGTCAACACTGAGAACGAGGTTGGTGAGGTAGGGGCAGGTTCCACGAGTGAAGACTGCTTCATTCAGTACCTAAAAATCGGTTAAATATTGGCAATTTTCAATTATCACTCGCCACAAAGAGGGCCGCAATTAGCCGCACGGATTAAACCGAGGACCGGAAAAGGGGCGTCATGACAGAAAACTCACCAACTGATTGGATGTATCAACCGTTCTTGGGGTAATACCATCAACAGATCATTGCATATCAATCAATCTAAGTTCAAAATGACAAAATTTTGAAACTAAGCCCAAGGTGTTTACGAAGCCCATAAAAACTCCCATTGAAAATAAGGCTTATAATGCGGAAGTAAATCTTTGCCTGATTCGGTGCAGTTCATAAACCTGAAATGATGGGTTCCACGAATACAGGAGAATGTTTCACAAACTGTGTTTTGAGGAATCTAACCACGTAACATAACGCCTGGATTGAGATTCATCGACGGTTGCGAATTAGCTGCGAGGGAATCAGTGGCCGGACAAATGCGAGCGGCAAAGGAGAACGAGCGGATGGGTCGCGGCTGCGTGAAGTAGTGAATGTGCAATCACACAACGTGCCCCGAAATTGATGGATATATTATTATTCAGCCAACTCCCACACCCAAGAAATCAGCTCCCAACTTTGAAAACACAAAAATGCCAAATGGAGCAGGAGGAATCGCTGTTGGTAAGTTTGCAAAGGAGGAAATCGAGTATACGACTAACTGGAGTAAATAGTAGAGGGAAAGGAATTACAGAATCGGCTGTTGGTGGTAAAAATACGAATCTATGCGAAGTTATAGAAACCATAAGATAAGGGGCAACAGGCGTGTCGAAAGTTGACAAAATGGCTCATGACGATCGTCATTGAGAGTGTAAGCTCGCGACCCTAGTGACACTCACATATCCCAACAGTACGCACTAATAGAATTACGTATGGCTAAACTGTGACCTTATTTCATGAATAGAAAACAGGTTGGTGAAGGCGAAACCCAAAGTGATTTTCAGTGAACAACAATATTAGTAACAAAGAAAAATACGTGACCTGATTTATGTATAAGTAAACATAGAATAGGACCTTACAAAGGTGTATTCAAGACTCAGAGAGGTGCAAACACGCGCGTTGACAAAACAGCTAACAAAAATAGCCTTGGTAGTTTCGAACAGTGCTAGTGCGAGGGCAGCGACACAGAGCGAATTATTGACAGACCCTTCACGTCAAGAAACTTTCAGAAAGACCAGATTAGGGTCTTTTGCTTAGCATCATCTTAGAGGTAAGAATTTCAAGTTGGCTGGATATCGACTCGCTCATGCGTGGGTGAACTGAATACAAGAAACAAGAGCGCAATTCTTGCACAACTATATGAAATGGAACCACAAACCGGCGATCAGCATCATACCGGGTGCTGATATACGTTGTGCTAGTGTATCGAGTAACTGGTGTAGCTTATATGGCATTGACGAACGAAATTTTAGAAATTGACAATGTCCTACTTTGGTTTCTCTGGCAGTGCACAGCACAGCTAATCCATTGCAAATCGTTCCGCTAAAGTGGAAAACCCAAGGTACGAGACAGGCTGATGCCGAAGGATGGTGCGGTTTATAAATAAACACAAATCATCAGAGCTGGACCACGCAGCTGAACAGGCTTACATGGTAAGCATTCGCCCCGGTCTGGTGAGCAGATTCATCCGAAGATGTTGATAAGGAGGAAGCAGAGTCCGTTTTTCTTCCACGCACCACCTGACAGCACAATCGCGATCGTAGAATACAGGGGCCACCGTCTAGACGTTGGTTTGATGATTATTTCAAAGCACAAATTAGTGTGGTTTCGAGACGTTAGGTGTGGTCAAAACAATTGGTCTGCATAATCCATGGCGCACAGCTCGTTGGATGGTCAAAGATTTAGTGACACTCGACGCTTTGATGGGAGGCCATATGAGTGCAGGGGACGACTAGACAAAACTCCAAAAGATTGATCCCTCTCGAAGTGGCAAAATGGCACGTTCCTTAGTTTCATAAAACTTGAAATTACACTACTGGGGCATTCTTAGTTGATCTTAAAGTTCACACAAAAACCTCCCTAGTCGTCATTCCCATTACTTTCGTACTCCTATAGAGCCTTTCTTAAAAAAAGGGTGGGTGTTTAAATCGGCATTAAGCATGTACTTAACACGAAATTAAGCAACAAAAATTCATCATCGTAAGTACAATGTAGATGTTTCAGCACTCATTATTTTGGCTGAAGTGGATCACATCAAGTGAAAACTTGGCAAAAAAAGCAATATTTGCAACAGCATTCAAGTAGTGAAAGTTGTAAAGCCTCAATTTTTGATAAAACTAATAATTAACTGCTCATAATAAACGTGGACAGCGGAAATATAAAGTGTGAATAAGCTCCTTGTTGCATACCTGTTAAAAAAAGCCAAAAATACGGATAGTGTGCAAAAGTTCAACAGGGAGACTATTCCAGACACTAAAGGTGGATTCCACCACACAAGGTATAATGCTTACCCGTATAAACCTTCCTGAGTATACGAGGAAAGTCGGCAAAGCTGAAAGGTGTGAGAAAACCCAGACTGCCCATATGGAAAGAGAGGATGGGTGGAACGGTGTCCTTGAAGTGTGGTGAGAGAGAAAAATATGCCAAGAATGAAGTTCTTATGGCAAATATAACGAGCCCAGCAAGAAAATTTAAACATGGGAATAACTTGATACAAGTTTAGCAGTACAAAGACGCCATTGGTTAAATATACAAATCAAAGATTTTCCTGTTTTTGCGTTTTCGTGTGTGAAAAATGTGCTTTTACTTAGCTGTAATCAGGAATAGCCCAAGTTTCATGCCATGGGCAATAAGCAAGGATGTCTGATATGTCTCATAAGATTAGAGATATTGACAGTTATTACTTGAATAGGTCTGTAATTCGAGGGCCGGCAACTTTCAAACTTGAAAAGGCTTAAAATTTTGTGTGGAGGTATATAAGTAGTGTTCAATAATCAGAGACGTCAAAAAGAATAACAATAGGCTGGCTTTATGGATTTTTAAATATTAGACATGCTTAATAATACAATAATAGATTGACTTCAGTCTCGAAAAATAAGAATTAGCACAAAAGCATTGTGCATCTTTAGATTGAATTTCCAACCAGCAAAATAAAACCCATTTTTAAACATAATGAAGCGCTTTGTTCACGCAGCTCGTTTAGACAGTCTTCCAGAGAAAACAAAGAAGTCATGTTTCCTTGAAAAATAAAATAAGAACATGCTTCACATATTTGGGAGCTTGAGATAGTTGATAGTCTGTCGAAAAGTACTGTATTCTAACAACTAGCACATTTGGAATGAAACCGATTAGACAGTAGCTTTCAAAAACACAATTCTGACTACTTATATTTCAGGGTTTGATCTGAAAAATAAAGATAAAATTGACCGAAATAAAATACTTTTTATAAACGTAAAACCACATCCTACTAATACAAAAGTGCACCATTTGAATTGCTTTCCTAACACATTGACGTCCAGAGGCACGTAACAACCATGTAAAAAGAAATCAAAGGAATGGGCAACGCAATGAAATATTTTGGATGGATAAAGCACGATTTAGTATAACAAACAGAATTTATGTTCCAGTAAATTTCGTCGCTAATGCAATGCAAAATAAGTAAAGAGGGCTAATTCAATCGACAACGGTAATAATTAAAGATAATAAGTACCTGAAAGATGGATGCAACGTGTAGAAGTGTGCCATCCCCTCCCAAGCAAATAACCATGTCCGTCAGATCGGATTCATTCGCTAGATTGCTATCAAACACTACTACAGCACTCTGAGAATTAAACATCTGGGTATCGGACTGCCATAAATATTCGGAAAGCAAGTCGACGTCATTTACTTCTGTCCAAAAATCAGGTTGTTCCAGAGGGCCTGCAGCACTTTTCCGGTCACCAGATGGAGGTGGCTTTTCTTTACGCAGATGTGCATTTAAAATCTGTTTGAATTCGTCGTCGTTTTGTAGTAAATTGATGCTAGGAGCCTCCAAGAAAATATATGCGTTGAGATACTAAAAATACAGTTTTAAAACCCTCAAGTCTTCTGAAAAATTGGCAACACCAGAAATTGAAGCGTAAACTGCCTTGCTTTTTGCGCAATCTATTACTGTTAATAAAGCACCTTTACGACCTGAACTGTAAAATTTGCGTGATCCAACATCCACTTACAGTAACTTAGGTAAATTAATGTGTTCGTATTGAAAACAGCAGATCCTATGGTAAGATTAGCGTAATAGGAACAACTAGACTTCCATATTTAAAATGCTTGACATGGGCTGTAAGTAAAGTTGAGAAAAGTGAATTGTTGGACAGCAAACATTATTTCGAAAATTAACTAATCAAATCGAATTTTTTTACATTAATACTGTAAGAACATTGGTAATATAGACATCAGTACAAACTCTTTCCTAGGCAAAGGCACACAAAATAACGGTGTTGGCGAACTAAGCCATTAGCTACCCATGCAGGCACACGATATTTGAAGAAAAAACATGGCGATATTTACGCTTAAAGGGTAATGGGAGGAGGAATGTGTTTGTTGAGATACTTGGTTGGAACAAAAGACCTTATAATCAGAGTCACAAGGACGAAATCAAAATTATGAAAACAAACCTTAAGAAGGAAGTATATTACTGCCTTGAGGCCGGCGAATACAGCAGGGTCATTCATTTTGTGAACAATAAGTATATTCTTGGACCAGTAGTTCCACTCAATATTATACTCATTATCACGCCTTCTCAAGCTTAAGAGTGATTTCAAAAAAAGGAACATACGCAAATGAAGGGTGAAGGCAAACAACTTCGAACATATCCAACACAGATTTAAGCCAAGACCAGAAGACGAAGACACTAGAAATTTGAAGGACCTACTAGTGACCTCGTAGGGAGATAATTAAAAGTGGTTGACTAAAAATGATGTGTCGTGTTATTAGAAATAATGTGTTCCTTAACACATGATATTATGAATCAAAAGGATGATTGAGAACAAATGTTACAACTCTCAGATCTTGTGAAGTAAATATTGAGCCCGAAAATAATAAACAGACAAATATAGATTGCACTGTTAGCAAAATTCTCTACGAAAAATTATAATCAGGTAAAAAGTCTTTAAGTAATGCATCAGAGCCTTTTATAATCAACCTCGACAAAAATTTGTATCTAAAAATCTAAATTATATATATATATATACATATAAATTTTTCAAACTAAAATTTATAACTAAAATTTATAATTTAAATTTTTAGATACAAATTTTTGTCGAGGTTGATTATAAAAGGCTCTGATGCATTACTTAAAGACTTTTTACCTGATTATAA